TCTCTGAAGAAATTTAATTTCTCCAAATATGACAGCACGCAGAAAAAATAGTTTTTATTTTTAAGTGAAAACCGTGGGGCGGCCAAAAAAAAAAGCGATGAAATCGGCTCATAAATGAATGCAAATATCAATATTGGAAATGTCAAATGTAAATAATATTTTGGTTAATTAAATCGCCACTGCAATGGTTAAATATGAAAAATAAAATAGCTATCTAAAACTAACTAGTTTTCAGTGGTGTATTTTAAAAAAATATATTTGAAATACCTAAAGTTGTATTACAGATAATAAAAAAATATAAATTTTATTTTTGAAAAAGTTGACACGAAAGTCGCCCGCTTCATTATTAACATTCACTCAGAGAACACCCTGTATGCTTATTTTTTTGTGAAACATCGTAGAAAAACCCCCAATTTTTATTAAGTACGCCATATACCAGTTTTCAATACCATTAATTATAAGTTTTAAATTATTTACCATTCTTTCTGTCTAAGACTGTTGCTATATTATTAGTTTTACGTCATATTGGAATAACGTTAATATCAAATACGAGTGATAAAGGCGCCATCGCGATTTTTTTTGGAAAAATTAAAAGACTGCCGAAACTATTACATGTAGGTGTACTATTAATAAAAAAGTAAGAGGAATGAAAATGAAATGACCAATGAGGTAATAAACTATACTCTTACATTGTTGACACCCTGTACAGTGGAAGAAATAAAATACTTAAACGTAAAACTATACCAAGTACCTTCTCGAAAAAGTTATTTTGTTGCCTTTGTTAGTTTTTTTTTTGTTTTTCCTTGTATACGATTTTTATTTTCAACTGTAGAAAACTTTTTCATTTATCGTTCGCTAAGGGTCGGGCATAATACGCAAGTATCTATTCGAAAATTACTTTCAGTGTATAGGGATTGAACTTGAACTTTTTGTAATTGTTTTCAATTCCTCTCATGAAACCACCGTAAGGTTGCAACTTTGCGATATTTTGTACACTATTTTGTTGCAAAATAAATAATATTAATTATTATAACAGATTTACAGAAAATATTGTAAGCACCCTAGGAGTTCTTAAAAAGAGCTTTTCCTGGGCTATGAATTGCGCATCTGTGTATTTTATCCTAACCAAGAGTACGAATTTGTTGGATTTTTGACAAAAATTCGTCTTTATTCATTATTTATATTACTTATTATTATTATTTAAATGAAATGTTATTTATCTTTATTACTTTTCTGCAATACCTTCGAAGGGCATCAAATTACCTCGTAGCTGATATTACTACGTTCTATATATATATATATATATATATATATATATATATATATATATATATATATATATATATATATATATATATATATATATATATATATATATATATATATATATATATATATATATATATATATATATATATATATATATATATATATATATATATATATATATATATATTCTCACGTATTGATTCACGGATGGAAAAATATGATGACACTATATTCCGGGATATCATCCGTTCGCTCGTTGAACTCCGACTGGAATCCTGCATCCGACTGGAATCCTGCATCCGACTGGAATCCTGCAGACGTTTCGCCAAAATCTCACTTGGCATCTTCAATGCTCGCGCTCCGAAAACACCCAGTGTTCGAAGTGTTTTCGGAGCGCGAGCATTGAAGATGCCAAGTGAGATTTTGGCGAAACGTCTGCAGGATTCCAGTCGGATGCAGGATTTGCAGGATTCCAGTCGGAGTTCAACGAGCGAACGGATGATATCCCGGAATATAGTGTCATCATCATATATATATATATATATATATATATATATATATATATATATATATATATATATATGATGACACTATATTCCGGGATATCATCCGTTCGCTCGTTGAACTCCGACTGGAATCCTGCATCCGACTGGAATCCTGCAAATCTTGCATCCGACTGGAATCCTGCAGACGTTTCGCCAAAATCTCACTTGGCATCTTCAATGCTCGCGTTCCGAAAACACTTCGAACACGGAACGCGAGCATTGAAGATGCCAAGTGAGATTTTGGCGAAACGTCTGCAGGATTCCAGTCGGATGCAAGATTTGCAGGATTCCAGTCGGATGCAGGATTCCAGTCGGAGTTCAACGAGCGAACGGATGATATCCCGGAATATAGTGTCATCACATTTTTCCATCCGTGAATCAATACGTGAGAATATATATATATATATATATATATATATATATATATATATATATATATGATGACACTATATTCCGGGATATCATCCGTTCGCTCGTTGAACTCCGACTGGAATCCTGCATCCGACTGGAATCCTGCAAATCCTGCATCCGACTGGAATCCCGCAGACGTTTCGCCAAAATCTCACTTGGCATCTTCAATGCTATGTATATATATATATATATATATATATATATATATATATATATATATATATATATATATATATATATATATATATATATATATATATATATATATATATATATATATATATATATATATATATATATATATATATATATATATATATATATATATATATATATATATATATATATATATATATATATATATATATATATATATATATATATATATATATATATATATATATATATATATATAGATCAATGTTCTGTTCGACTTTTTCTAATTTTTTACTATGTATCTAGCTCTAGATTATTTGATGTTCAGTTTAGCACGCGGCCTTTTAAAGATGAAAAAAAAAAGGACAAATCTGTTTGCCAATTTGGATTATAGGTTCGGTCGGTTCTACTTCTTGCTGTTAGTTTTAGTTGGATTTGGTTTGCTTTGGTTCAGTTTTCACCATTTTATGGCAAAGACAGGATTTAAAAATTTTGAAAATTAACAAAATAATTCCAAAGTTTATATATATCTTATAATTTCTTTGGGAATTCCATCAAGCTTGAAACTTATCCCATACATAAGTGTTCTACCGATTAAATACGCTTTAGCTACGTGAACACTATTGAAGCTGATAACCTTGATATATTTTTACATATTTTATTAAATGCATATCTAATATCTAATATAATTAACTATTCAAATTGTTGAAGATCTCAATTTCAGATCTGCAATTGACATTTCTGATATGATATCTATGATATCTTTGCCTTACAGATCCTTCCTTTAATTTTTGCATCTCAGTGAAGGAGAATTTTTTCACATAGGTATTTAAAACATGCTCCATTTATATTTAAAGCTCTAGCGTACTGCGCGAAGTATATTTTTTGATTGATTGGGTGTAAATCAACACTTTTTGGCCAGATCTCTTTCACCCAATTTACTCATAAAAAAGGGCTACTTCGTAAGTCCTGCCTGCTGACCTCATAGAAATACCACAATTTTTAAGTCCCAAAAAATCATCGAATTATAGTCCGTATATTTGATTTTCTCAAGCAGTGGTTCCAGATTTTCGTATAAATCATTCATTTGCAAGCACTTCCGTTATGCATAGGAACAGATTTTAAGAATATCGGTGCAAAAAACAAATTAACCACTTCGTTAAGAATAGCCTATGAAAACAGTGTAAATGTGTTTCATACGTATTTGCAATAATTTTCAACTTATTATAGTCTATTTTTACATGAATTAATAAGAAATTACATTATATCTAAAGAACATTAATATAATTTTCATCCCGTTTTTACGAAATTTTTCAATAATATATAGGGTGTTCTATTTAAAACAAAAACGTTCGCATAGTAACTAAAAAACGGCTAGAGAAAATAAAAAAAAACTCCGCCACTGGATTCCGCGGAAAACATCGCATACGAAAGTTTTTTAACTCTTCAATAACTCATCAGACAACGCAGATACGGGGGTGGCCCCAAAATCGCAAGTTTTGGATTTCAGCCTGTACCTTGAAAACCAAGAGTGCCCTGACGTCATCTTTAATTCCACAAAAAAGTAGACCGCGACTCTTTATTTTTAAAGATAACCGAGATACCCCGTAAAAATGCCCACAATGAGATACCCTGTACAGTGTACGGTTAGATTAGAATAAAATATCGAAAACAGGTATTAAAATTCAAGATGGCAATTACGCCATCTGGCGGCCGTTTCAGAACCTCGAAAATAATTTCCGGCGTTTTCTCTTCGCCAATTTACTTAACATCCGTTTCCACGATACCGTACCCTCGTACATTTCTGATTGTTGTTTGTAAAATTATAAAAACACCATATAAGGAGCAGGCAACTAACTTGCCGATGTCGGAATTTTACAAAAATTCAAAAGAGAAACATTAGATACGCCTACTTACAGTTACGTGACAGCGCCATTTCCGCTAATCGGAATCTTCCGCCCGACACGAATGGCGCCCGCAGAACTTTTACACATCATGGCGCACAAAAACAAAACGACGAATTAGACAATAATGAAAACGCATCGGAGAACGCGACTAATTAAAGCCGAAACGGTGGGATCGACGAAACATCTGGCGAACGACCAGTCATCCTAGCGTCACTCGAATTTTGACGCTTCGGCGGCGAAACGCGAGGGAGCGCCACGCGAGCCACTGTTGATTGGCCGGAACACGTGACGCCCACCAATGGCCGCCGTAAGACGGTCGGGGTACGAGCGATTCGAATAAGACCAAGCGAAACGAACATTACTACGCATCTAACGGTGCTGTGATATGACCGATGTTTTTTTAAAAGTTAATATTTATGTATTTTTCAACACTTATCTCACACCCTGTGCATATAAAAAATAAATCATTTTAAAATTTAATATAAACCATAAAACTTTTGTATTTTTTTTTTGCTAAAATCAGTAGTCAGGTCAGTAGAAAAGGTACAGGCCCATAATAAAGTGCCCACCCTGTACTTTAGATTACGTAGCTAAATTCATAAATTTAAACTAAATACTAAATTCATATATAGAATTAATATAACGCATACAACCAAAACCATTTCAGAAATAAAAATTTGAAGATAGAAGATGAAGACAACTGTGGACTCACCTGTATCCTATCTTCCGGCAGGTCCGTCTTTAGGCTGAGCATCTCTCTGGCGTAGACGTCGGGGTAGTGGGCGTCCTTGAAGGCTTTTTCAAGTTCCTCCAACTGATAGCTCGTGAAAATCGTCCTGCCACACACCCACCAAGGGTAGTCAAACTGATTCGGACAAGGTTACAGGTTTACATGCACCATTGACATGATTAACAGTGTGCATGTATGTAATTTGTTCACCAAGAACAGAAAAATGCATAGTAGGCTTTGCCAGTTTTAATAACTCATGAACAAGGTGACGTAGAAAGTACAATTTAACTACAATCTAATTACAAACGACACTATTAGTATGAAAAAAGACACGAAGGGTTTAAGTATAATTTGTTAATATTTGCTGAGTCAAAATCTTACAAAAAAAAGTTATACTGGTTTTCTCGGATTTCTGGTTACCATATGTTTCGAGAAATAGGACATTTACAAAATAGAAATAAATTTAACAAGTTAAAATTGGATTTATGTTGGTATTACTATTGGCAGCATTGGCATTGTTCTTCTACTATCACCCCCAGGCTAAGCTTTTATTGTAGTTAATGTATTTTTCTTATATAATAATTATCTGTCGTTCACCTATACGTCCTTTAAGTGCTTTATGAGTTAAATAAGTGTTTTATGTCCATGTCTTGCAAGATTCTACTCATAAAGTGCACACAAGGTTGACAAATGTGCTTATAATATTTAAATTAACCTCTCTATTGATTTACCTGATGCCACAAAAAAGTCTACGGTCCTTTGGTATCTTTATTAAGTCACCTGCTTATAAAATAAAGATGAGGTGACCAAGGATTTCCCCTCGAGGAGCAACTAACTCTACACTAAAATCTATTAGACAACAAATCAGAAAATATATTACGCCGTCATTGGTGGGACCTCTGACACCCATTCTGTATAACTTTTGTTTCAAAAACGCAGGATTTAAGGTGTCAAACGAAAAGATTCCGACCACAGATAAACTATACAAACTGAGTAATTTCTGTGGACATCAGACAAGGATCTCCTTTTTTTTTTAAACCGATTCGTTCAAAAAATTTCCTACTTCAAAAGATTTATTTATTAAGATTAAGATTTTAAAGAATCTTTTTAATTTGAAACTCATGATATGGCAAAAAAAATATTTTTTTGGGTGGTTTTCAGGTAATGTACTGTTTGTATTGTTGGGAAATAATCTTTTAACTTGATTTGACACATTAGTGGCGAAAAATTTTTAAATAGTTCTGCTTATTACAAATCTTCTGACGTTTCGAAAGTCATCCTGATGGCTTCTTCAGAACTTAATTGAAACTGAGCCGCATTCTACTCTGTACCTGCACTGAGCCTGGCACAGAGTTCTGAGGGATACCCATTGTTGTCATGGATGACTTGGACTTTATTTCAGTGCATACACCATCTGTTTTTATACAAGAGGCTAACCTATTGTTTCAAGACAATTTCCATAACATTATACAGTGATCTACGCAATCGAATGCCCTACTGAAGAATGGAATAAAGTAACTGCTTGCAAATATGCTTACTTAAACACATCGAGAAAACTATGGTGATAAATTTACTAGACGATCAAAAATCACATCCAGCAGAACGTTTATTTTGAAGCTTTTTAACAAGGAAACTGTATAGCTCCTCTTCATGGAAAGGCTTTTTCATGTTCTTTGAGCATAGTTGATAATTTTCCTGGTATCTCAAATAGAATGTTAGCTTTGACGGAATGAATTTGTTAGGAAACTTTTGGACAAGTGGTAAATCTGGATTTGATGATATATTTCTGAAGAACAGTTGATATGAATGATGAGAAGGATAACAGTGAAAAGTGGGGTTGCTTCAGACTCATTGCCCTTGGAAGTGTATTTGGTGATGGAAAAAAGCAGCTGTAAGGTGTGATAAGAATATCCTGTGGATCTAATGTAATCTAATGTTTTTAATTGTTCACTGAAAGCAAGTTAGTACGAAACTATCAGTCTGTGTGCGTGGGTTTTCTGTAGAAAGAATCACCCAAGCTAAAATTCTTCTACCAACGAAAAATCCGTGAATCTATAGAAATCTAAGCAACCAAACATTCTTAACCGCCACTCAGGTCTTTATCTGTGGCCAATATGCCCCTCCTTTAGCTCCGCCTCTTCAAAAAATATATAAGCATCTACATAGTAGAATGCGAATCAGTCCCAGTTAAGCTTTGAAGAAGTAAAGGTCAGCAAGTTTGATTTGTGGAAGTTTCTTTGAAATGAGGAGTTCTGCTATCTTTGCGACCCAACTTCAACTTATCCCTGACGAAATGTATACGAAACCAAAGCAACTCTTCCTAAATGGGCACTTAACCAATTACTTTTCTCGAGCAAGAGGTTAAATATCCCATCCGACAGAGTTAAAGTTAAATTTCCAGCCGATGGGGCAATAAAAGTCTGGAATAGGAAATTAGGTGAAATGAAATATTTAGTGGCTCACTTTAGTGACGTGATCGATACGCCTGGCCGACTTTATCCCGGTGCCACTACAGAATTTCCAAATGAATCGGCGGAAACGCTTCTTTATCGTTTATTTTGCAGTCGCCGGTTGAAGGTGATAAGTTGAGTTAGGATTTTATGTAAAAATATTTTGGATATACCCGTTTTAGAGTGAAATAATTAGATTAACGATATAAAAAAAATTACATATGAAGCTGTAGTACATATTTTTAGTTGTTGTACATAAAAAAATATTTTCTATTTTTCGAGCATAAAATTTGTGACCCATTCATTAGTTTATTACTGGGATTTTGCAAACGGATAAGATTAAATAGACCAGCGCGTCGTCACTGGAAAACACAAAAGTGGATAGAAGAGAATAAAGAAGAATAAAATTTCGCAGACTTCTTTGCACCAGTGCCTTTCAGCGGCAATTTTAATTTACGCTTATGTGAAGCGCTGTTGAGTGCAAATATCCCCCTTAATAAGGTAAAGAACACTAAATTTAAACAGTTTTTATACACATTTTGCAACAAAAATGTACCTCATGAAAATACATTTGCAAAAATATAATTCAAGACATAAAAAATCATATTTAAAATTTACATTATTGTAGACGAGACAACAGATATTTGTGGTTGCTAGGTTGCGAATTAATTAGTTGGTGTTTTGAATGAAAATGTTTTACCAAAATCTGTTTTTAATAAGTACAAAACAGTTGGAAAAAACTGACAGTATAGAGTTTGTTCGATTTGCAAATGAAAGCTGCTTAATGGCCTTTTTTGCTCCAGATATACTACTAACTGATAAAATACTTATCTAGTCACCGACGCAGTAGCGTATATGACCAAAGCAGGGTTAAATTTCAATGAAAACTAAATAGTTTTCACCATAAAGCATATATTTCACATATTTTTTGTAAAAACCAGACATATTTATGAGCATATTTTAAGCATTTTCTGTGCATAAAAATCCGAACTCTAGTTGTAAGTAGCTGGTGGTGTTTGCTCCGGCTTATTGGCGTCTTCACGGTTGATTATTCATAAAAAAATCGGTTAGAATATAGACTTTTCCTATTAAAACCTAGAACAAAGGTTCAAGGAAATTCAAGGTTTTGCCTAGATAATATTTTTACTAACCATAAAGACCTCGGAGTTTTTAATTTAAACATTGGCTTATCTGATCACTTATATATATATATATATATATATATATATATATATATATATATATATATATATATATATATATATATATATATATATATATATATATATATATATATATATATATATATATATATATATATATATATATATATATATATATATATATATATATATATATATATATATATATATATATATATATATATATATATATATATATATATATATATATATATATATATATATATATATATATATATATATATATATATATATATATATATATATATATATATATATATATATATATATATATATATATATATATATATATATATATATATATATATATATATATATATATATATATATATATATATATATAAAATACTATCCGGAAGCCTACCTATCTGTGTAAAATATATTTCTCCGGGAAGATCAATGAACAATGAAGCTTTTGTTCGGAGAGTCTAGCCTCCACAGATGATTCAAAAAATCCTATAACAAATTATTCAAATTTCGAAAAAAAACAATAAAGCAAAAAAGTTATAGAAAGGCAATGACGACGACTTTCATAAACAGTATACGGGGTGATTCGACGGTGGAGTAAAGTTGATTATCTGGTTGGTTTCAAAAGTTATGAGAAAATGGCAAACACAAAAATTGTAAAGATTGCTAGGATGAACAATTTGAAAATATTGTACAATGTGATAGATATAAATAAAGATATTATTAGTTTTAATTGTTCCAAACAACTTAAAAACGTTATTGACTGATTAGAATAGTTGAAGTTGAAAGCTTCGTTAAAACTTTGTAAGCGGATAAAACTTTGATTTGAATTTGAGATTTGACAGTGATTGAACAATGTTACCAACCTAACATTATTAGTTCTTATTCGAGAATTAAAGAAACAAAAAAAAAATATTCTGATGAAAATTAGAGTTAATATTATTGACAGGAATCTTAGAAGTCGCATAATTTAGTCTTTTTTTGTTAGACGGACGGATAAGTATATATCACACTTAACCCCTCTATGTCTACTTTTAGCACATTTCCAGGAATTAAATTTTGAATTCGAGTTTAGAATAAAATTGATTTTAAATTTTTCAAAATTTCATTTAAAATAAGTAATTTTTTTCTCTGAAGGAGAGGTGATAAATATACCAAATTTTGTTTTTTAAAGCTAGCTAACCTTTTGTTTAGACGGATGATACGAGGCGAATGGAATAAACCATCCAGAAGTGGACTTTTTTCTATACCAATCCGACAGAACTAAATTATCTGTTTGTTTGAAAGCATAAAAAAAACATGAATGTAATTTCAAAAAAAGCAGTGGCGTACCATATATAGTGTCACATATGCAAAAATATTTAGTGACATTCTTGCCCCGACGCCACTGGGCAAAGTAAGCAAAGAAAAATAACTTTTAAACAAAAAAAGAGTGGGCCTCTTTTAAACGTCAGCAAAATATTTAAAGCACTTTCAATGAAAATGAGGAAAAAAAACGTCTTTTCTTTGCATTTCAACATCTGGTGTATCAAATATTTTTATTTTAAATTATACGAGGAATCATACCCCATACATCTGTCATTCATAGACGAAAATATAACGTCATATATTTGAAGACATCATAACGCGCACCTCAAACTAGCGGAATAAATAGTTACCTATGACGTCGTTTCTTCTTCTTCTTTTTATTGAAACCGCCTAACCCATCTTGTACGGAAAAATCTTTGGAATTATCTAACTGTCCTGAAACAAAGCAAAACGTAATATTAACAACGCTGATAAAGATGAGGTTAATTTTAAATTATTTTCTTATTCACACCTTAGAGTATTTGCGCAAAAGCGTATTAAAAAAGCATACTGATATACAAGTTTTAAGTGCATATTAAATGCATACTAAGCAAAAATTTTTAACATATGAAAACAATCCACGCGTCTTTAAATTTACGATAAAATTAAACGTTACTTTCAAAAATAAGAAATACAATGTAGTAAATTGTACCCATCACATTAACGAATTTTAATGACGCTTTCTACTGATAATATTTTATTTGGTAAAAGTAGGAAGGATTTTTTTATAACGAATGCAAACCCAAATGAATTGTTGCCATTCTGTGTTAGAGTTTTAGTACGATGTTTTGTTTGGTTCAGTTATATTTATTTAAATACATCTGTAGTATAGGTAAAATATTAAAGGATTTCGGACTTAATTCTAAAGGACTAGTTCTTTATATAAAATTACATTTAAAAGTTTGTTTGTTTGTGTGCTATTCTGGAAGAATTTGCCAAATTTTCGAAAATTTTATAGTATTTTTTGGGGCGTTATTATAAACTTGAAAATAGCTTCCAAGTTTTTGGAAAGACACCCGCCGCTAATGATTGATTAAATAATGAAATAGTAGACCCCAGAATGTATGTGTCATGTTTTTAATATCGCACCCTTAAAGTATTTCAAACAGTGGAAAAAATCTACACTATAAACACAGTAATTAAGGACAATAACTATAAGTAGAAGTAAGTAATAAAAATAAGTTTCGAAGTCAACCGTAAGAAAAATTGTTACAAATGGGATAGTCGAGAGGAAAGTGAGAGAAGATACTGGTATATAAGCTGGTTGGCGTATAACCTACGACGCTTACAAAGTGAATAGTGTTTTAACCCTAGAAGAACTGCATAAAAAAGTACTGGAAAATGGATTTTCAGTTCCAAACTATGTAAGTGTAATGGAATCTCAAAGAATTTCGCAATGGAGGGTGGATTATTTAAATGCAATTGAAAAATTTCGAGAGCAAAATGGGCCAATAGTATATATAGACGAAACTTGGTTCGATACTCACGACACAGTAAAAAAAAGATGGTGTGACCACAGTAACAAGTGAGTACTAAATATGCCGCCTTCATATGGAAAACGCATAATAATCCTTCATGCTGGGTCCAAAAATGGTTGGGTGGAGGATGCTTTATTTTTGTCTGCCAAAAAGAGATTCAAGTGTGGATTACCACGAAAACATGAGAGCGGAAATATTTAAGGACTGGTTTGAAAAGAAATTGTTGCCAAAACTATCGCCAAATATCGCCATTGTGTTGGATAATACTTTTTTATTATTGTTATTGTTTGTTAGTAAAATTAAAAGTAAAAAAGTTTGTTGAACAGCGTGATGTCGAAGGAAACGTCACTAACGATTAGCTGGAGAAGACGTGGCCAAAACTAGCAGAAAAGTATCCTGCTGACGACTTTTTTAATTCTGACGAGACTGGTATTTTTTACAAAATGACGCCAGATAAAATGATTAAATTTCGAAGCGAAAAGTGTGTGGGTGGAAAACTTTCTAAACAACGTATAACATTGTTAGTAGCTGCCAATATGAGAAAAAAAAGAAAGCTAATCGTGATTGGAAAATCAACTAACCTACGATATTTTAAGATCAAGCATTTGCTTGTCACTTGCAAGGCAAACAAGTCTGCATGGATAACATCGCAAATTTTGAAGAGGAGATACGGAAATGGGATGCAGATTTAAAGGGAAGGAAGATATTACTTCTCTTAGATAACTGCCCTGCACATCCCCATATTCGAAATCTACGGAATTGGCATTTCTTCCAGCCAAAACAACAAGTGTATTTCAGCCGAATGACCAGAGCGTAACAAAAAGTCTTAAGAGTCGATACAGGAAAAACATTTTAATGGAAATGATCGAGTCCGAAGACAAATTTTCCATTAATATGCTAGTCGCAGTCAACTTTATTAGTAAAGCTTGGAAAGAAGTAACAGCAGAAACAATTCAACACTGCTATCACCATGCAGGACAGAATGCGAACAGGACTTGGAAGATGATCAGCCACTAAGCCAGTGGATAAAGCAGTTAAAAAAAAATACGTTTACAAGTGAGGAGTTGCAAGATGTTATGGTGATAGATCAGAATTTGCTTACAAAAGCAGACTTGACAGAGAAAGTCATATTACACCATTCAAGAAAGGGAAGAAGAAGATGAAGAAGTTGATATGGGACCTCCACCAACCATCCAACAAGCCCTATATTCCGTTAAGCCGCTAGAGAAATTTTTATGTATCATGAGAAATATGCCCCTCTCGAAGAAATGGTGAAAATACAAGCCAAAGCACGAGATGCGTATTGGCATACTAAAAAAATTCAAAAGAAAATGACCGATTATTTGAAACATTAAATGTAGTTCTTAAATATTTATATGAAATGCTCCTAAGTAGATGTTAAAATATGTATATAAATTAATTAAATTTTACAGAACACATACGCGTATTGTTATTTTTCAAGTGCCTATAACTCTCTATAATGAAAACCCTTTGTAAAAAAAAGCAGTCCCTTCAATTTCGCTATATAGAGTTTCCACTCTATTTAATATTTTGAACGTAATAAATTGTCACTTTGTACTAATTTTTTCTACTTATATTCCGCTTGTTAGTTTTGGAGTAATAAACACTAAAGTTAATCACGGGGTCGGTTGTAAAAGCACTATATTTCTGGTCGGAGTATAATAACACCGTTAAAGTTTTATTGGGAAGTGTCCGTCGAAAGCCAGCTCGACGGAGATTGAGACAGATTACACCTTTGAAGGAATTCTTCTATCGATGGTTGACTAAACTTTTTTGAATATACACGTCACCGGTTTGATCGTTCGAGACGGCGTACTTACTTTCCATTGACTGCGATCGCTTTGTGCGCCCGTATAACATCCAAATACTAAACAGGAAACAAAATAAGACGGAAACCGATTATTAACGAAAATAAAAGGCCCAAATTCGCACACAATCTGGCCGTGGATATCGCTGACAGGCGAAACCCAAACTTTTTCCCTTTTGCAGAATTGCGACGGGAGAAATTAATACTTTTTCAGCTTTCTTAAGGGTGCCTTCCACGGCAGGAGGGTTGTTTTGTATCTGGGGGGTAAGAAAACAAGCGGTCGTGAAAATAGAGATATTTCTGCTAGGGATATGGCCGGTGGCTTTCTTCTCGATTGAGTGTAGTTCCTAAACGAACGTCTCCGTTATATAGGGGTGCGTTTTTTTTTAGTTACGAGGGCATTATTAAGTATTTGGTCAGGGTGGATTTCGCGTAAGTCTGTTTCGTGTAAAATTCCTTGAAATTCCGTGAAAGAGATATAAAACTACATGTTTCACGAATCGATACTCTTTATTTTGCAATTAAAATGTCGAAATAATACGACAACACCGTTTTTAAAAAGTAATTTTTATTAAATGATGAACATAGTTTGAGATCTATGGCCGACAAATATCTTCAGAGCCAATTTATCGATAAAATATTTTCAATTTCATTTAAGTCGGACATAAAAAAAATTGTTTAACTTACATTACTTACCAGAACAATGTTGCCCATATCTTTCTATAAAGTCTTGCTTCTCGGATGACGATTTTGTCATTTCCCAAGCGGCTAGGCCTCACGAAATTGCCCGATGTAGTGATAATTCGCCAAAGCATCACGGACATTCAGTTATTTAATTCAATTGAGTCTATCAACGATTGATCGACTGTTTTCGAAGAAAAAACATTGGGAAAGCCATCTACTCTTGCCAAATATGTTTTAGATAGCATTAACGAAAACGAATTGCCCAATAAGAAGTACGTTCGTGAAAAGAATGGCATGTTTTGCGTTAATCTGGTCGCGAAATGGAAGAAAGTGCGACGGAATAAGTCTTTGTTTAATTAAAAATACAAAAGATGTCGCTACCACCATGATTCCCGTGAGGCTAACTAGCTGGAATAATGAAATGCCACAATCTCTGATGTTTTGCAGGCCGTTGAAACTGCAATACTGTTTCGAGACTAGTCACATTTTCATGGAAACATATCCATGCTTTCTAAGGAATGCCACGATTAACAAAATTATTGTACATAGTAAACAAATCATTGAAAACCATGTGTTGCCGATAGGCTTCTTTGGTGAGGAAGCTTCGGAGTCTAGAAATAAGATATACAAGCAGGATAGGGAGTTTCATCCCAGAAAGAGCAGCCGAATTAATTACTTGACAGATATATTTAATAGAGCCATGGATGCCTCAGACCCCTTCATATCTTCGTTGTCCCTTAAATCAAGAAAATCAACATTGAAAATTAAACAGATATCGCCTGAAGTTCAAGATTATAATATGATAAGATTATAAGATGGGGAGTCATCGAAAATAGACAATTATTTTTATTCTTTAGAATTGGATAGCTTAGATTTGGACAGTGAAAATTTGTGAAGTAGGTAAAATTGTAAATACACATACGAGGTTAGCGCGAAAATTTCCCGGAACTAAGATGGATAAGATTGGACGAACAAGAAAGGAAATAGAAGACCGAATAGTGAAGGGGAAAAGAGTCATAAGATGTCTCTATTCTCTGGTTGACACATATTTCTAAAGAAAGGAAAAAATATTATTCATTATTCATTAACTTATGTTTCAACTATCATTGTTGGGTTGCTTATTAACTTGATAGACTTTCATTCCATCATTTGCATGCATATGCATCTGTCATAATGCTTTTCTTTAGGCAAAATGACGCTTCTCTCAGTATTCTTAAATGAGACACCCTGTATATACTTGGATTTTCGAATAGCCACTTTAAACGTAATTTCAATTACGCGGTTAGCCCCAAAATTTCCCGGTCTGACATGGATGAAGCTCCAGTATCACGATAAAACTTTGTCTTCTTTTAAATATATATCTTAGGGGGCTGCGAAAAAAAATTGAAGCCTTGCGTCAAATAGTTTTTTAATCAGACGTGTCCGAAAAAATGTGGCAAATCACGCAAATTGAGTATAGAGCAGTCATATAGTTTTTGACAAAAGAAGGGTTAGCATCTAAAATTATTAAAGAAAGGCTGGATGGTGTGTACGGCCAAAGTTCTCCCACGTATTCTGTAGTGAAAGAATGGGCAAATCGTTGTCGAATGGGGCAGGAGTTCCTTGAAGATGATTCAAGAACTGGTCGGCAAGTGGCGGTCATAAAGGAAGATATTGTTGCGATTGTGGAAGAGGTGGTATTGAGTGATCGACATTTAAAGGCCAAGGAAATCTCAGAAATTACTAAGCTTTCTGATACAAGTGTTCATCGAATCCTGCATGATAATTTCGGTATGCATAAGGTTAGTGCAAGATGGGTTCCTAAAAACCTTTCGGCTATTCGAAAACAACGCCGTGTCGAGTGTGCGCGGTCTTTTTGGAACTCTGTGGGTCGGAACCGAAGCCTGTGATAGAAACTATTGAGACGGGAGATGAAACTATGGTTCTCTATTACGACCCTCTATCGAAGAAAGAATCAATGGAGTGGCGTCGTAAAGGTGAAGCACCTTCAAGAAAATTCAGTCAGCTAATCAACAAAAAAGGTGACGGCTACCATCTTTTGGGATTGTGAAGGAATTCTTTTGATATATTTTAAAGAAACTAATACCATTGTCAATGATAAATAATACGCAACATTATTACATAAATTGGGAGACTGCATACGTGTAAAACGTCGACCAAAACTGACCAGAGGCGTGCATCTTTTGCACGATAATGCACCTGTCTATACTGCTGGTGTTGTACAAGCTGCCATTTTAGAGTATGGGTTCCAACATATAGATCATCCTCGCTATAGTCCAGATATGGCCCCAGCGACTATTATTTGTTTGGATATTTGAAAGAGGACTTACATGGACGGCGGTTTAACGACAAAGTTGAGTTAAAAGAGGCTGTTTTAGTTCATTTTGCAGACAAACTAAAAGAATAATTTTTTAAAGGGATTGAGTTGTAAATAAAGAGATGTAATAAGTGTGTTGAAGTTAAGGGGGATTTTATTGAAAAATAATAAAAAAATGTTATTCTACTTTGTTTCTTTCATCAGGTCAGGCCGGAAAATTTTGGCGCCGCCCTCGTATATGTAGTAGTCCTTTCAAAGTTTTTGTGCCAGAATGATTTTTCAAATGCAAGCAAAGGCAATAAGTAAAGCGACTGTGAAAAGCCGCAATTTTATAAAAGTGTTACGCAATATTTTCTTCTCAAATTTAGTCAAAGGGGAACGCGCACAAGTGATGATACTAAATTCACACATAGGTATCATATTAGTTTATTTTTTTAATCGAGTTCTGTCGCTTAACAGGGGCTTCTTCGGAGGAGCACATGTACCGTTCTGGGATACATATGTTGTTGCGCCTATAAAAAGTATTCACAATAAAAAATGTAAATAAATAATTTTATCCAAAATAAGTGTGCTGTAGACTACTGTGCTTTGGTAAAAAGCCAAAAATGAAAATTATGTTTCGTCAATTTACGAAATGCAGCACATTTTTTATGTGTTTGAGTTTCGGAAATACGGCTAAGAATGCTTTTTTAAAGACTTTTAGTATTTGAAATTAGAAATTGTTTGTCAGTTTTGATTTTAATTTGAATGGGCGACTAATGTTTTTATAGGGAAGTTTGACATTTTGAGGTTAGGTTTACTCAGTTAATTTTTGGTGAAACAGTATTATTTGTAATTTTTGTGATAAATTTAAAAAATCGTGATGGCTAAAAATGGAACAAATTGTAGACGTGGACTAACCTAACAGCGATGCATCGATGAATTTAATTCGACTTTTGGAGTTAAAGCACCACCTAGGACTTCAGTAGTGGTCGTAGTTTTCTTAAGGATGAATTTCGTGAAGTTGGTAAAAAATCGGTGGTTGTAAAAGAAAACATTGATGCAGTGCGGAAAACTGATTTTTCAGGATCGTCATGTGACTTACCATGAGATTGAGGCATCTTAGGACATTAGTGGGACCGGCATACACAATTCGATATCAGCAAATTTATCTTTGTTGGGTGCCTACTAAAGAAAATTAGAAAACAATGGTGCGACTGCAAAAACCAATTTTTCAAAGTTGTGGAAAAAGAGTAAGGGGCGAAAGATTTTTCAAAATACAAGGAGTATTCACAAAATGGCAGAAGATTAAATTATATGCGCGATGTATTTGTAAGCAACATTCGATACGGTCTGGTATTATCAAATATATTTTTAAAAACGTGGTGTTTCAAAATATGCTTTAGAAAGACTTGTCCAAAATGAAAGGGCATTTTTTCTCATATTTTCTTAAAATACAGACACATAATTAGAAAAACTTACCAGCTAGCTAGCGACGCTATAAGTAGAGGTACATAGAAAAACATATTTCAAATTTCTATCATCGTGTTTTCATGTGCATCCTAAATTCGCTGTATATATATTTTAAGAACCGTTCAAAATATATATTTATAACTTTTGTATTATTTTTTGGGATGCACTATTTCATATTTGAAATCATTTGTAACTAATTTACCCTATAGTCTGTCAGTTCAAAGCAAAAAGTAATAAATCGGTATAACTATTTATTACGCAAATTACTTTCTTGAGTAAATATATTAAAATAATATTAAAAAAATAAAATGTCCCCAAAACTTCAATACCAAATATTAAAAAAAAAATAGAAAAGAAACTTAATTTTATGCCCAACAATTGTAAAAATATTTTTGCTGAAATTTCCATAAAAATGTTTTGTTCGATTTGGGTATTATTGTTATTTTACAATAATAATTATTATATTTGATTAATTTTATGCATAGTATATGAAATCATGTTAATGCCAAATTGAATAAACCAATAAATCGAAAAAAAAAATTTTTGTTTTGTTAATCATATAATTATTTTGTTTTTTCCTCTAAATTCGCCAGGAATTTCTAAATTTCGAATTGAAAAACAGAAAAAGGAACAAGGAATTTGGCTCGGAACTCGCTACACTTTTTCAAAAATGAAAATATTTTTATTATAAAATTTATTATTTATAATAAACATATATAATAATAAATAAAAATATTATAAGTTATTAGTAATTTTTTTTCTTGAATCACTGGATATATTTAAAATCGAGTCATATTTAATTTCTAAATCAATTTTAATAGCTTTTTTTTTCAAAATAAAATAATATATAAATTAAACTCTCGGTTTTGGTTAGTTCATAATTAAAGGAGTCAGTGACGTAATGATTATTAATTTATATTTTCGTAGTAACCGGCAATTTGTATATACCTGATTAATCGTATCGTAGTTATATTTTTTCAAAAATCTCAACGGCATGCCTTATTGAAAATTCCAACAGGCAGACGGTTAATTTGGAAGGCAGAACGAGTATATAAAATCTTCCGCGTCTCCCTAAATGCCCCAAATAGCTTTTACGCCAGCTTAATTCGTTTAATATGCCTCAAGGCATGTAACGGGGACTTTTATATTATATTATCCCCCCCTTATTGATTGGAGGTCGCCGTTGAAGGCAATTTCAGCTGCGACGGAGATATCCGAAAACGGATGCATGTACGAAGAATATTGAAGAATAATTGCGACA